GTCAAAAGTCTATAAGTTGCCGAAATAGTAAGCTAGAGCCCTGAAATTGCTCGTACGAACTTACTAGTAGATACTGTCGATCTTACAGTTAAAAGAATTTCGCAACGAGGAAACAAAAGACACAAAACATGACTCTGCTTTGAAATGAATGCCAAAATCTGAGTTTGAAGGACGGCAGAGTACACTGATTTTCATCTCAATTTGTAGCGTCAAAATATGTTCTCCTAGCAAAAAGTCCACTTGGTTTGCAAACCCCTTTGATAGAACGTCCTCATTTCGATGTTTTCATTTTGTCAAATGCACTCCAGATTTTTAAACAGCCCTCTTTTGAAGACCAGGTACAACAAACTTCTATGCACGATCGAAATGCATCATGGGAAGACGGAAAATTTGGACATAAATCGTGCAGCATTCTTCTTTTAAGAATTTTTTTATAAGTGTGAGCTCCCCCGCACCTACAGGCAAAATATCGGGCCAATTGCATTCTTTGGTTGTCAAATATTGCCAAAATTACCTTGGTAGGTTGGAAAATCTGCCACAGATGGACCAGGAAAGCGATCTTACAATGATGTCTCCAGTTCAAAACAAACCGTGACTTGGAGCCATTGTCTTCGAAAAATCGCTTTCCACCTCTGATTTCTTCCAGAAGATTGTCTCTGCCGACTAGTCAAGCTTAATGATGCAAGCCTAGGGGCTCCTGTGGCAGCAAAAAGCTCAAAAAAAACACTTATAAACGGGTTTTTAGGTAAATTTAGGCTCAACCAGTCGATAAACAAACGGTCTGACCTAAATTTACAAAGCCCTGCATAAATTAATGCTCCCTAGGGAATTCAAATCCGAAATAGTTTTATTGACAGCACCTTATATGGAAGTCAATTATTTTATCAAGATGTTAGGGTCGAAAAAGCTCAAAAATCAACAAATCGACATCAGTCGACAATGAGTTAATCAATGTGTTTACTTGTTTTCAATCATAGCTACAGATCGTTGGTAACGCCAAGAAAGATTTCTTGGGAATTGATGATCTAAACTTCGTTGAAAGTCAATGTTCACAAGTTATTATACAATGTAAGCGGCTTGCTACTGGTTTTTTTTTTTTCGATTCAGTTTTCTCATTCTTTTTTTTTTTAACGCTTAGCCAATCCCTCGTGCTATTTTGATGGTGGTCATTCCTGTCAAATGAAATTCCCTAAGTCATGGGTGTTCGCACTGCACAAAGATCAACAAGGTACCAATCAGATCCTCAATGAAAATTTGTAAAATTATACTCACTTTGAAAAGTACACCCGAAAACTAAAATAAGACGCAATACCATAGATATCAGAAAAAGTCTAATATTTAGTATTTTAGTACTAATAACTATTATCTCAATGATTATTAATTGCCATGCGTTTTATTCTATCTTATAGACGAGAACAACTTTTATTTGAATTTTTGGTATTCAAACGATGTGTCTAGCAAAATAACAAGTCCGATTTTAAACCCGAAATCAGATGGACGGATATGCTTACGATTCTGGATGAATAACGGAAAAGAAACGAAGCTGAAAATCTTTTATAAAACTCTTCATTCTTCTAAATCCGTTTTTCATTATACATCAGTTACACAGGGATGGTTTTACTTTCAATTACCAATACCAGGAGACGAAAACAGCTTACAGGTAGTAATAGTATGATGAAACTATACAAATATAATAGTATAACTATATAAATATCAATATAAATCACTTCCATTAAGATTATAATTATAAGAATCTTCGATCTGAAAAAGGGCCTGGTCTGTAAGAAGTTCATTTGGATTCAAAGAATTTACACACTGACACAGCAAAACCATATATATCACACACTTTTTTTATACAAAAATAATAACCTTACAGCTAGTTTTCTTAGTGGTCAGAATATTGGTAATGGCGTGAGACCACATGTCATATTTGTGACTAGTAGTTATTATAACATTTGAGTCCAGTTGTTGAAATTGCGGCCTCTGCAATGTTGTTCACCGCATTTATTCTATAAATTTGGCCTTTCAATAAAAATTCATTTTAATTATATTTTTTTTATCGTTTTTATACTTTTTATGTTTCTACAGGGTCTGAAAGGGGTTTGACTGTTAACTGAGAAACGGCTAAAAATAATAACTGTTAACTGAGAATTTCGGGTTTATTTAGCTGATAACTGATATTAACAAGATAACTGTTAGCTGATATTCCTTTGTTTGCACATGTTTTGCATGTAGGTGACCCTTGTTCCAAGGGCTTCTCTGTTGCTTTTTTTTTCAAAATGGCGGACAGAAATACCCCTGGCACTGACCGGTCACTTGACACCGACTCTTTGTGGGTGTTTAGTTTGGAATACCGCTGAATGCATGCACCAAAAATGACACGACCTCGATGACGATTCCTTCGCTTTGCATGTGCTAGCACACACTCTGGCAGGGACCGCGGAGGAGCTGGGGGGCTGCGAGCCCCCAATTTTGGCTTCCGAAAAATTAATTAGAAATGAAATCAGTAAGAATAAAAAAAAATAGATGATCAGAGTTCGACTATACGAAGGTATGTGATGACAGCATCAAGCTGGAAACGTTAAAGACTGCTTCAGATACTGAAGGGCGAGGGTCCTATGGAATATTTTGATTGCATTCTTTCCGCAGTTAAGAAACTATCCAAAGCAGGAAAAAGCTTAGTTAGTGAGGTGGTGACCCTATGTAAGCTGTTAGCAGTCAACCCAGCAACCACGGCGCTTCGTGCGAGCGTGATCATATTTTAGCAGTACGACGTCTGAAGATCAAATATGACACAACAACGATTCAGCAATCTCACGCTACTAAATAAAATTATTATTGACTTTGGATTGTCACGATCAAAAATGCCTTTTTTCATTGCTAATTTTTGCAAAATTTCAATAAAATTAATGCATCATATGTCTTCTCGATGCTCTCAAAATGCTGGAAATTGCTTTTCCGAGGATTAAAATTCCCAAATTTTCCGGGGGGAATGCCGCCGTACCCCCCTAAAAACTCGCGCCTTCGGCGCTCATCAGCCCCCAACATAATCAACCACTCCGCGGTCACTGTCTTGCTATCACGTGCTGTCGTGCTATCACAGATAACGTCAAATCTCATGAAAATGCATATGAAAGCATTAACTAATGTGCTGTTAATTAGAAAAAAATGGTTATCCTTAAAGTTGCATTGAATTTTCTTGTACATTTTTGTGAGAGATTGTCGAACATTAATATTCATAGTCTACTTAGTCCCCTAATAGTCCCTTAATAGCAACTGTTGAATACATTCTTAATTTCGATTAATCAATAATTCTTATTTAAGGTGGTAATGAAATGGGAAAGTAAATCGTTTGCTAAGATAGATGACATTACATTTTCGAAATACCAATGTCAAAATATTCCGACCGGTGAGTAAATGTGAATTATAGAAGTTGTGACAAAAATATCATGATATTTGCAATCTCTTTCTTACAAAAAAACCTCTACTCACTGATTAAGAATATCAAATCTGTTTTCCAATAAAGGTGACAAATCAAGCAGAGAGTGCCTTGACTATACCAATTTGGATGCACTTGATCGTAGAAAGGACCAACAACCTGTAACTACATTGCCAGATGACAGAACACTGTCAAAAACTTCATGGTATCGCATATCAGGGCTTGCGGGTAATCAAGTTTCTATGGCATGCCATAAGGTCCATCGTTACTTTAGATCGCGCACTGATTTTGCCTGGATCGAAGGAATATTGCCCACAGTAGCAGATGGACAAGTCTACAGAGAATTATGCATTCACGCGTCTAACAAACAGGAAAGTCTTTGCTGTTACGAAAGAAGAGGAGTCGTTACAAGAAATTGCGGTAGATATTTTGTTTATCGCTTTCCTTACACTTGGACTTTTCGTTTCACTGTTTATACAGAATACAGTAAGTGTTTCAGTATCAATATGAACGTTTTAACGTACTGTATATAACTATACTGCGAGTTTTTGAAAATCCCCAATCCATACTAGACTG